TATAATAATTTATATCACTGGCATCGGCTTTAATATTAAAAAAAAACGTCTCGGAGCATCCCCCCTACAACGTTACATCACCATAATTTTAATTTTAAATTATACTGTTATAATTTAAAGCCCTCGAAAGTACAGAAACGTGATCACGAATTCATATAATTCGCCTAAAAATACATCTTTATTAATTAAAGATACTCGAACCTGAGGCACGTTCACGATAAAATTTGAGCTTCCCTTAACAAAATTACCTTTTGGATTACTTTTAAACATGGCGAATTAGGCGATTACCCACGAATTTTAGTACAGACAAAATGGGATTTCAAGGTCGCACGATAAACTTCATGAATCACGATATTCAAAGTAGTATCGATTTTTTTTTTCCCCCCTCTCTCTCTCTCCTTCCTTTTAAGATGGAAGCATGTAAAATCGTGCGGTTGATTTCTTTGAGCAGAAAGTTCAACGTTCGTATATGGTAATTATGTGAAAAGAAAGATTTCAGATATTTTTCTTTGTTATTTAATAATTCTTTTTTGTAGTGAAGTGAATCGATTTTTGTAGATTTGTATCAATTTAGAGTGAATAGAGTCTAATTTTTTTGTTGTTTACGTCCTCGTGGAAGGAAAGAATGCTTGAAAGCATCCTCTATTTATGCTGTTTTACATCCCCTTGGCTTGAAAGCATCCTCCATTTTTGCTGTTTTATATCCTTCTGACTTAAAATTCTCCTCAACTTTTAGTGATTTTTATCTATTTAGAGTAGAGACAGTCTAATTTTTTGTTGTTTACATCTCAGTACACTGAATACTCTTACTTTTTTTTGTTATTTTATATCTGTCTGATTTGAAAGAATATCCTTAGTTGTTCATGATTTGTGACTCTCGTGAATAAATTAATTCTAGTACTTTTTTTTAAATGTTTTCTATCCATTGAAAGGATCTTTTAAATATTATTAATGAATAGAATCACCTGTTTACATGAAATACCCTATTCCTCAAGCATTATATAAATAAACATTTATAATTTTAATGTAAAAGGTATAAAATACTTAATATTTTTAAGCAAAATCTGTTCAAAATATAAAGATACGGGTCAATTATTATCACCAAAAGAAGCTAAAAAATCTTTAATTTTTATACAAAATTTTCTACTCTAAAAGTATCATTTATAATAGTTTCTACCACAATAAATCCATTATAAAATCTCTGATTTTTTTTTTTTTCACACAGTTGTTAAAAATTAAAGAATATTCAATGGAAAACAACAAAAACTGCATCCACTACCAAGGTTAAAATTCAATTTTAGACTTGAATTCAATTACCTTTGATGGTACTTGCGAAAATAACTTAATAATTTCCAGGAGGAGGAGGAGGAAGAAGAAGAAGGAGGGAAAAAAACAATGAATTTATTTCAAAGGAGAAATTAATAGCACACATTCTAAAGTGTAAACGCTTGAAAATAAAAATATAAAAGAATAAATTGCAATTTTGTCTAATAAAAAAAATTTCAGAACTTTTAACGTTTCATTAATTAAAAGTAGTAATTAAGTAATCTTGACATTTTAACATTCAGTAACAGTGTATTTATATATATATAGACAGAATCCTTTACCTAACAAGCATATATATTAAGTTAAGAAGGGGCTTTAGGGGTAGTAGCGTGGGGATCCCTACAGTATCTTTTCTAGGATGTCTAAGAATATTCATGCCAAATTTGGTGTGGATACATTGAACTGTGTAGATGCCTTTACCCAGCATACAAACAAACTTTGGCTTTTAATTTATATCAACATATACTGTATATAAAACCACCACACTTAAGCCCACTCCTCTTAACTTATTATGTATGTTTGTTAGGCAAAGTATTCTATACCATTCGACGCATCTGCACAAAATTTGGCATGAAATTCAACACCCTAAAAAAAAATACTGTGGAGACCCAACCCCAACAACCCCTCTTAAATTAACGGAGCAATTTCTTGTGTTTTGCAGTTTCATTATTACGTTGAAGACATTAATCCAATAGCATTATTATATCATCTCCCATAAACACGCCTACCTTTACGTATATTTCGCTTTCATCCAATCAACGTAAAGAATGTGATAAGTTTTTCGAAGTGCCTTAACTATTTATAGAATACGCAACCGAAAAATTGATGCGAGCTGTCTTTTGAGCTTCTGGAAGAATTTATTACGTATTACACTAATATATACGATGATAAATGAACTTTAACCTTTTCCTAAATGTCTCATAACTAAACCAGATAATGTTTACCTTCCATAAAATCTATTATTCATTACGAAATTCGATTTTAATTGATTTATATCTACAACTAGATGCGTGTTCTCGGCGTTGCTCGGTCTTTTCGGGGAAGGGAATTCATCAAATTCCGTTCCGTCAGGTTGGATCGGGAAACGGTGATAAAAACAATGGTGTTAGTAACTGAAATATACATTTATAGGCCCTAGTATTTGCAATAATGTAACTGCAAAACACTAAAAAAATACTTGCTCGAGCTTAAGAAGGGGTAGAATTTAGGAGTGTTGACGAGAGGAGACCCATGCAATAGGGTGTCGAAGAATATCCATGTCAAATTCGGTGCGGATACGTTGAACCCTTCACCTAATATACATACATATGAAGCAGAGATTTGAAAAAAAATAGCGCAATAATTTCTCAATTTATTGTAAATTAGTGGCAATTATTTTATTATAATAATTTAATAAGATAATAAAACGTTTAATAATAAGGAATTCGTGCTGTGAGTGGCATTGGCATCATTCATTGAGATGTGAATTCAATCCATCAATGTGCAAACACTGCAAACAATGTTTAATCACGATTATTTAAAGAGCAATAAAGTATTTAAACATATAAATTTATTATTTAAGAAAAATTTCGAAACTTTAAATGCAAAAATTGTGAAATTACTTGGCATTTTTACAGCAGTATCAGCAAATTAAATCGTAAGAAAATTGAGATACCGAATTTACAATTTTCTATAAATTACAAAGATATCGTCTTACAGCATATAAAATTGTAAGAATAAATTATAAATAAATAAATAAATAAATACATAAAAATTCTGAATAATTTAAAAATAGTCATGGAAACTCACCAATTTTAACAGAAATTTCTTACTGATAAAATACTCCAGTTTATGTTAAACTATAAAATTCTTTCAATGAAAATAAAATTTTATAGCTTCTTTAGTTTAGAAAATAAACTTTAAATCTCCTACAATAGAAACTATGAAGGTGAAAGATAAGGGGGCATGTATATTGGACTTTGATCAAATCCAAACAACACGAGCAGCTTCGATAGTTGTGACATTCGATCCTGTTCGATCGATCAAATAGATTTTCCTTTGTTTCCCTGGAAGATGATGATGATGTCAAGGATCGTGGAGTTATATAACATGACTCATGTAGACTTAATTAAAATTGCTGAGAAGTTAATTATTCGAATTACTTTGCATAAAATATAAAACATTTTAAGTAAATAAATAAGGATTATCAGGATTGCTCCCCCCTTCAGTAATTAAATGCAGAATTACACTACAATAAAACCTCGTTTGCTTTAATGAAAAGTGTACATAAATTATCATAAAGAAGTTTAAATATGTGGTCCACACACGAAAAATGCGATGCAGTCCTTAAACCTGTGTATATGGATAGGACAGGATTAATGGAATAAGATGCCCCGCCTCTCTAGGGAACACCAGTCCCTATTGTTAGATACTCGAACGAAACCCGAAAAACTCCACGTGCTCAGCCCGTTGGTCAGGTGCGAACCTGCGACCAATAACCAGCTGTTTCATCCACCTGTGTCTGTGATAACTTTTAGCTCAGTACACCCATGTGAGTACACCTGAAACTCATTAGTTACTTCCGAGCCCGAACCCTTCTCCCTTGGGTACAATTTACCAGCTGAAGCGGCAAAGAAATTGCAGGAATTCTATTAATGTGGTACCGACAGAAAGGCACGTTAAATCGAAACTTCGTTATAAATATGTTAGTACTGTACAACTGAAAAATTTCCTTATGGGTCCCTATGGGGATTGGGTCGAGAAAAATCTGAATGTTCCTTATTACGAGATTCGTTATAACGAAATTCCGTTATATTATTTAAAATATAGAGATGTAATAAAAGATTTTACACAACGAAAAACCATTAATAATAATAATAAATTGTAATTATGTACTAGAATTTATATAGGGGAGACCGGGGCAACTTCGGCATGCGGGGCAAGTTTGTCAAGCTCTTTTTTTTAAAAACAAATTAAAAGGAGACTTTGGTTATAGGTTAGGCAGTTGAGTTTTATTGGTGGCTTGTTGAGTGTAGTGTTTTTATTGTTCTCCAACAAGCGTAGTTGAATTATCAAGCAAATTTTCATTTTCGTTCAATTCCATATAATATTTTTTTTCCATTTATATTGAATTGGCAGGTTTTGTTATAATTCCATGATAACGAAAGTTACTTTTCCTGTTAGAAGGATGTAACTTCAACTTATTCACGTGGCCAGATCGTGGCTTGGCATTCTGTTCTCAGGGTTGTACTTAATGTTTCGAAATCATGACTAGCGGGGTAAGATCGGCAACATAAAGCCACATTAGAAGCAAAGGATAAAAATCAAACAGATGATAAATGAAAACATGTTTGCATTTGTTATTCATGTATATATGTCTTTGAACTTGCATTTCGTTGTAATAATATTAAATGGGTGTTGGATTTGTATTTCTTTGTTTTAATAGTGAATTCCAACTTATACATTGTTAATAACATAATTTTATATACGTGCCTATCTTGCCCCATTACTGTTGCCCCTATACCAGGGGCAACTTTAATAAAAATAATTAAAATAATTACAACTTTACAAAAAGAGAGAAGTTGCCGATCTTGCCCCTATACCCGGGGCAACTTCGTCAATTTCTCTCTTCTTGTAAAGTTGTAATTATTTTAATTATTTTTATTTCCAAACTGATTTTAACCAGTTCTATAGTAAGGTAACATTCCAATAGACAATATGCAAAGCTTTTTTTTCAGTTTACAGCAGTATTTATTACACAAAATTTAAGTAAAGCTTAACATGCCGATCTTGCCCCGGTCTCCCCTACATGTTAACTGAGGTTAGAACCCATATCTTCAGCATATTAATCTTATTTCCTTTATTAACAATTTCAACCAAAGTAAATATATAAAATACAAAATAGCTAAAAATATTTTGGATTAAGATCCGAACCCACGCCTTTGGCATTAATCTGAGTATAATTTTGGGCCGTTTTTATACTTATATCATTGACAAAATCTACAAATGAATGATTCATTTTCGAAATTTGTTTGTAGGTGTCATACATTTTTAAAACACGGCTGTACAGTCAAACAAAGAAAATTTGAATATTTTAAGACGTCCCGATGATCTCAGTGAAGCGGAAAAATAAACACATAATCCTGGATATTACATATTTATTTTTCCTGTTTAGAAAAAGAGTAAATAAATGGCTAAAAATCAATTTATTTACATTAGAAAGTATGGTCCAGTGATACAGCAAAGACGTATCAATTTTTATAACTGTAAATAAGAGAATTTTCAAAAAATATATCCGCAGTTTTCGGGAGAAGGATATGTTAAAAAAAATTGGTTTCCTGCGTTAAAAATATGTAAATTAGACCCCGATTTTACGAACTAATCGGTTCCTGAAGAGCCTTCGTAAAGCGAAGACATGTTTGTGTAAGCTGTCGTCAAGGAAAATTACATTCCTACAAATATTTTTAATTATACGGGGTGGGCCAAAAGTAGATATACAGTTAGAAGTTAGTCAGCATATAGTATGTAGAAAATAAGTACAGTAAAACCTGTGTAAGCCGGATGGTACTATATAGAATATTTTTCCCGGCTTAGCAGGTTTCCATTTTCAATAGAAAATCGATTCGTTCCGAATGTTTCTTTCCATTTAGGCAGGTTTCCTCATTATTCGGGTTCCGTGTTAGACAAGTTTTAACGTATATAAAGGTACAGACAGTTGTGTTTAGTAGTATCTCAATCGAACAGATGGCATCTCTCTCTTGTATGCTAGCTAATATATGACTAATTTTGGCCCACCCTGTATAATACCAAACATGGTAACGACCAAGGTGAAAAAAACACGGCAGTAAAAGAAGATTTACACTTGTAAGAGCGGTCGTAAAGCGAGAACTCCGTACATAAAAAAGTGAATATCCTCGAAACTAGATAACGAACGATATACAGTAAGTGGAATACGGTCGAACCACGCGTAACAGGGGATAGAAAACTTTACCGTCCATACAAACGTGATGGCACGATGTTCGTGTAAAAGCTTGATAAGGGTCGACCGGGACTAAAAAAAGCGAGTTAAACTGCTCAAACAAGTCTTCCAGACAATGCCTTACACTGATCCATTTAATTAACTTTGTAGATTGTTATTAGATGCGAGCAATTCCTTCGTCTCTTTAACCGTAGCAATCCTCTTCCTGGTTATATATAACCTATTTACATTAAACACTACACGAAGCTTTTAGTGCAAGTAGGCTGCAATAAGGAAGAATGGACTCAGTTACGAATAATTGGCATTCGATGATCAGTCTCTCAAAATATTCTCTAATTTACCCATTCATAGAATTAACTTATACAAATTTTAACATTTTTTTTCTTCAAATAATAAGGTAGTTTTTGATTAAAATGTCTTGTAGAAATGCTGATATTTTATGTGAATTTGAGGGAATTAATAAAAAGTTATGCTGAATGTAATCAGTGAATTGGTGAAAATACTCGTCTTTAAGCTTCCCTGACTTTAAAAAGAAAAAAATTAATTTAATTTTCGGACATTTAATTCACGCAAAAACCGGAAAAAGATCAAATAAAAATAAACAAAACGGCATTAAAGATCCACTAGAATGTATCTCATTAGGGATTTTGTAACGCTGCACGACAGTTATTTTACAACAAAAACTTCACCTGACCTAAATAACATTCACCTCTACCACTTATTGTCAGTTCAATCAAATCGAATTCGACTAAAAATAATCTATCGCAGCACCATTGACAACACCTTTACGTGTACCCATTAATTATCTACTGTTGAAACATAAAATGATGTCAATGCTAGAAAGGTACGAGATAAAAATAAAAATAAATAAAATGCAATCTTGTTAAGTTCTTAATGGCTCTTTTAAAAGAAGTTGGCCTCTTGCATTTTATTACAGGATAATAAATAGGAAATAAAAAAAAAACCTCTCCAGCCGTAACATCCTTAAAATATAATCCTTACATTTAAAAATACCCTTAAACTCGATATAAATATAACAAGTAATCAATTCAGAAAAGAAATTACAAATTTAAATAAGCAAGATGGCGGCGCGTTTTAATGTATTAAGTTAGGAGCGCCGGGTTGCAAGGAAGCGTAACGGCGTTTTACGCCAAGGAAGCCGTACAAATACATATTTTGGATAATCCTTTAACTGATTTAACACGTAAATTGACGAGGCATCCCTGCAAACGCCTATAACGTTACGATAAAGGTTAATCAAACACGCTACACCAACGATTGCCGAGTGGCCTTGCTACCGATCGTAAACGAAGAGAGGGGGGGAAAAATGGCGATAAGAATTAAGAGGATTGCGAAATTCGAATATTTTAACGAAAACAAGCCAATAAAACTAAATGACATTCCCAAGCATCACGTGACTTATCTGTGTATGTGTTTATATATTTTTAGGTCACGCAGGATAGTGGAAACGACAATATAAAAATGGCTACGTTCTGTATTCTGGCGCAGAAAAAAAAAGAAAAAAAAATTAGAAAACAGCGCGCAGCCTTTGAATGTGACGTACGAATCCCGTGCATGTATATGTGATGTCATTTATCCTGTCGAAACACAATGGTATACGAGATGTGCCGTCTGATGGAGAGTCGACGTCAGCGGTGACGTCCGCTACATCCGGTGTTTGACAAAAGACGACAGCGGAAACTGATATTGCAATGGTAATTTTTCGATGACTTTTGACAATCGAAAAAACAAAAAAAAAAAAAAAATATCACACGGCAAAAATCCTCACGTGATTCTAAATACCTGAACATTTCTTTTTGCTTGTAATTCATTCATGGTGTTGCAGAGATCTTTTCTTCTTGAACACATTTTTAAATACATAAAATGAGTAAACAATAATAAATTTAATTAAATCTTGAACTTCTTCTTCTCTATTTTAAATTACAGTAAAAGGGAATATTTTTTTTTTTCTTGGCATCTAAAAATACCATTCTAAACAATTTTCATGTTTCTATGAATAACAAAGTAACTAAAACATCTCAATCATCCTCTTATGAATGCTTTTTTTTAGTAGATAAACTGGCTTTTTTACTTATAGAAAATTCACAGATTATCATCAATTTCATTACAGATCATTTCATCATCATTATAATAATAATTTTTACAAATAACCCATTATCTTGGCAACTCTTCCTTTTGTTTCTGAACATATTTTATGACTTCTAAAAATTGTCCATTCTAAAAAATTGGCCTGTCTTTATATAATATTTAAAGGCAAATATTTCACAAGTAATTAAATTCATCGTCCCGAATAATCATCCTCTCATTCTCACTCTTTTTATGTATTTAAAAAAAAACAAAAAAGAAATCAAACAGCAGAAATGTTCATGCCATTCTAAACACCTTTGCTACAAAATACATATTTTTTTCCCCTTCAAAAAATATTATTCTGAATAATTATATATTCTTATTTTGTATATAACAAGCCACACTTTACAAATAATTTAATAAAATAATTTGTTACTGATCAACTATAAATAATCTCTCCTTTTTATGTGTAGTTACAAACATCTAAACACACACTAAAAAAATACACTCCATGATATCAGCATAATCTTCTAATACAAGAAAATGAATTATTAATTCAATTAACTTGAAGAATTTTCCTTTTTATACATGCATTTAGACACACAAAATAAATTTCTGACAGCTTAAAAGATGCAGTTGTAAAAAAAAAACTGGCATGCTCCTACAATGAACTTAAATATTTGCGCAACTGTTTACATTTAATTACTGTTTAACTCCGTCTTCCCCAAGTATTTCTCCTAAATGTTCGGTACAAGTTTTGTGTTACACAAAGGTAATTTAACATTGCTGCAAAGTGGAATAAATTTAGTTTTGTTAAAAATAAAATTTGAAATTGATCCTTATGCACGTTCGTTCCTAATAATAATAGGCAATGGAAATTTCTGATTAGTTTTTTTGTATAAACAAACAAAACGGTTTTGGTGATATTTTATACTTTGCGCTTCAAATTTTCACATTTTTATATAAGTGATTCAATTGATAGGAATTTAAAATAGCTATAAAATGCAAATCTGATATTATAGATTGCTCAATAACACAAATACTAAAAATTAAATACCTTGAATAGCTCAGAATCTAATTATCTAGTTACACCTTGCACTTATTTCATAATTTTTATGGATTATTCCAAAGATCTTTGCTTATCGCTGTCCGTAAACACCATTTCTCAAATGAAATTTGACAGAAAAACAAAACAAATAATTTGCTATTTTTCTCCCACAATTTCTATTGTGTTCGTGTGTATAAAATGTTAAAACATTCGTGTACAAAAAAAAAAAAAGCAAATTTATCAAAAATTACTTCCCTTACCTTCGGCTTCTTGTAAGTCTTTTTAGTAGCCGTATTCAAATCTTCGTGCACCTTATCCAACAACCACAGAAGGAATTCTTGAGCGTCGTGCTGATTGCTACCTTCGTACTGGCTTCCGAACTTGGCGACGGAATTCTTAAAAGTCTGAGAGATTTCGGGAACGTACTGACAGGACCACAGGCCCTTCAGGAGGGCGGCCAAGCGTTCGGTCACCACTCCCTTGGTGCCGTACTTCTTACCGTGCACCTTATTCCTTCTCATGTCCACCTTGTACTGGTCCATGACCAGGTATTCCGCCAAGGGATCCGTGTTACTCAGGCACTGTACAATGGCATTCATAAAGCATGTGTTACCGTGATTATGGATACCGCAAACAGCCGGTGTTCTGTTCCTGAACATCTCTTGGTTTTCTGTAGTGTCGATGGAGGATATCTGAGACCTTATATCGGCGTTTGATGCCGATTTAAAGTGTTGTTTCATCTCCGAACTGTTCCTCGATTTCGTATTGCTCTTGCGTGTACTCGATAATTGTCTTATGAGACGATTAAAAAATCCTATCTGTTCCTTCTTCGGTTTCTGTACATGACGATGGTTCTCTTCGTTTCTAATTTCTTCCTTTTTTAATGAATTTCTCCTCTCCTTCCTCCGAAAACTCATGGTGAACATCGAACGTTGAATGTTGACAATCGTAGGTTTATTATTATTATTATTATTATTACGTTGATGGCCCTTAATACGGCCTAAAGTTTTACTTTTTATATCATCGCTATACATACCGATATCGAGTCTTTCGTTGGACGTCATCTTGCCGTATTATATTAAACAATAATAAACGAAACAAACAGAATTATCCCAGAGAATCGCCGACAACATCCTCTCCGTCTTGATTATCATTTCCACCTGCGCCGAACATTGCGCCACCTGTCTGATTTGATGGCGCAATCTCCGCTACTGTTTCTTCCATTTGCCGGTAGATAGCACCACTCGTATTTCTTTATTATTATTATTTAATTTTTTAAACTTTAAACTTTTTTTATTTATCTTTTATTATTTCTATATTTAATTTTTAATAATATGTATGCGTTATGTTTAAATTGTCGACATTTTATATTTGTCACGTGACGTGTTTTATCCTTGATAGCGTCTTATGATTAATCGTATTTACTACTTTAACGCAGTTAAATAGATTAATTATGTTTATTTTAATAATAATAATTTTCTAATTTTCAAAAAATGATTTTTATTATTTTAATTCATTCTTATTCGAGTAATTCGTCGTTGAGGAATAAGTTTAATTATTAATTCCGCTTTAATAAAAGTTATGGTACTGTTCGAGATAAATATACACGCGAATTACTATTTAAATCCGCGTTTCGAAAATTTATAATAACAATAAAATTTTAATAATAACACGTAAAAAGTGTATTTAAATTGTAAAAATTTTAATTTTAAAATAAAGATCATCTACCAGTATTGCTTCATATAAATTGGCGCCATCTCTTGCGAATAAATGTAATTAATTTATATATCTTTCTTTAAAAAAATAAATTCACTAGTAAAATAAAAGTGAAAATTATTTTTTAAAATATTTTATATTAAAATACTAATTATTCTATATTTTTTCAGTATATAAGTATTCTATAATAAACTCATCGATATCAAAGGCTGACACCAGATGGCCGAGAGCCCAAGGCAATCTATTGTTCTGGGGAATATATTGGTTTCTAATTCGGACGGGTCGAATTTTTGACGAAATTTTCGGTTCGTCCGGGGTTGTCGGGCCTCGCCCCTCTGGTTGCCCTTTTGTGGGCCTGTTAAAAAGGCCCTCTTAATGCCTACAGGGTGGAAGGAGTTTGAAAAAGCACTGATGCCTTAAGCATCTCGACCATCAAGAGTCGATAATGATGATGAAAGACATCATCAATAGAAGGGGAAAAAATGTTTTCGCCATATGGAAGGAAAAACCAGCCATTTTTTGAGTTGGAGTAAAGCATCATTGGTGTGGCATATACCCAATAGTGGATCCAGAAATCAATGCCAGAAACAATGTGCAGTAAAAAATTTTTACTATCTGAAGTACCCAGCTTTATATGGAAAAAACTCCTGGAATAGGGTGCAGCTTCACCCTGCATGTCCTCTCTAAATCTGTCCTTGCATATACCTTCGTTGTTGATGTCGCAAATCATGGTCTAACGTTAAAGTCAAAAATCACACCCTTGGTCATGATGCAGTTTGTGTGACTTTGTGGAAGCTTCCAGTTTCTACGAAGTCAAACAAAACCTCATCACGTATTAAACAGTAGTAATTGTTATATGTATTAACTGATATTTTGCATTAACTGAAGTCATTGAATTTCTAGCATTGTTTACAGGATCACAAATCTATTTTGCATTAACATGTACTTACATAAGCCAATTACATAATGAAGGGGTTCAATTCAGTGGCGTAATGAACATAACCGGCGCCCGTGGCACGACACTTTTTTGGCACCCTCACCCTCAAATCTTGTTGTCTTGGAGACCATTTGGTGCCTCTCTGCGCGTGGCGCCCGGGGCATGATAGACCCCTTTGCCTCACCTTTGCTATGCTAGTGGTTCAATTATGTTTACAAAAAGAAATATTACTTAGAAAAGTTGATTTTACTCTTTCAGTAATTTTCTTATAATTTATAACAAACTTTTTTCTATTTTCATCTCTTCCTGCCCTGACAGCACTTTCTGTTCATTGTGTGATGTTAGAGATTAGAGTCAACATATCCTTTTTTTAAAATTCTTTCTTCTCCATTGAAAACTAAGAGGACCCTTTTATTCTTTCCGTTGCAGGTTCATCCAGACCCACAATGGGGCAACCGAGTGCTGAGGGACAGCTTGACATATCCAGACAGTCTACCCCAAAAACTTCCTGGAGTTATTTGACTGCCAAGATTCATTCCCAGGTTTAACAGGGCCATGGGCATTTATAAAGCACAGCAATAGGACAAATCTAGTGATGTCAATACAAAAGGTGAAAAAAAAGTACACTTTGTTATTTCATTTAATAATAATAGATTTTTGTATATCATATGAGCTCTCCATAATGACATCATCCTCATTAAAAAAATTGTCAAAATTCATCTAACACATTCAACTTTCTGAGACTAAAGCAGGTTTTATGCCCACAGCTTTGTCTTTGTGTAGATCTGCAAAATTTACTTCTGCCTTCACACATTCTAACCTGAAACAAGCATATGCATAGTCTAGAGCAGTATTTCTCAACAGGGTCGATATCGTCCCCATGTGGGCATTTTTTCCATGTTGAGGGGGCGATTTGTAACAATTTATATTTTGGGGGCGATATAGTAAAACATTATATTAAGAATAATTAGATATTTTATTCATTATATCGTACAATAATTAAACAAATAACATTATACTAGTCACTAGTCTATTCAATGCAGTACAAATTTGGTGTTAGCCTTGGCTCTCGGCATCAGAATTTTGAAGTGAAGGGGGCGATACTACGTAACGGTTTTATTGAAGGGGGTGGCGATTCGTTACAGGTTGAGAAACACTGGTCTAGAGCAACATTTCTCAATCTGTGGTCTGTGATGATGGGATGGTGGTGGTCTGTGGACAGACTTAATAAAGATTAAAACTTTGCTCAATGATGATTCATTTTTAATGGTTTACTTCCAATTTGATTATGTTTCCATATGTATTTAAAAAATGCTTTTAGATTTATTATGTTACTAGCTGCAAAGACCTGCTTCACTGGGTTTTTATTTGTTCGTACATTTGTATGTAATATAGTTTTTTTTATATATATAAAAGACTGTTTTTCTAAGTAATCTAGAATCTAGCTGCAAGGACCCGCTTCGCTGGGTTTTTCGTGGGCAAAAAGTAACGATAGTGAAGATTAAGATAATTACATTATAGCCAATCTTACCCGTTTTCACAAAATGCAAGAATTAGGTCTCCCGTTTCCAGATGTTTCCAGAGAATTTTTACATGAGCATAAAAATAAGTTCGATTTCCCGCAAAAATGCAAAAATCCGCCTATAAATCTTGCATGCCGCTTTATATTAACACTTCCTAGTCCCGATTCTATTTCTGAACGTCTCCTGTTTACGTCCAGTCAAACGAACTATTTTCAACGTTTCTGGAACGTTTACGATCATTCTATAATCGAACCAATATTTGAATTTTATGTTCGAATTTAATTCAAACAAAACATTCGAAATAGAAAGCCACTTTCAACCACTTTCAGCCTCATATCTCCCGCACCCTTATAGCTATTGAGACGCAACCACCCTGGTGCACGAATGGAGACTTGGGGCTACCACCACATACAAACACCATTCACGTGCAATGTGTAGTTTTTGCAGAAAAGTGAAATATAGGGACGTACATGTCCATTTTTATATATATATATAGATATAGATAAATGACACAGTATCACCCAAATGTTGGTAATACTCACACAGGTTTAAAAAAATTAATCTAGATAACTTATGGTCCATAGAAGTTTTTCAGATATTTTACTGGTCTGTTCATTTAAATAGGTTGAGAAATGCTAGCTTAGAGCAAACCTATGGCACGTGACCAAAGTGACATGTCGAGAGAAATTATCTTGCACGTAATTATTGTATTATTTTGGTTTATCACCTGTCTTCTTTTAATCATCCTTTTGGTTTATCAATTGATCATCCTTTTTCAATCATCTTCTTTACATTTATTCTAATTAAAGTACATTTATTTCAATTCTTTAAACATTGTTATTCAAAGTCTAAAACTTCAGCACACACAAACATTTTTAAAGATAATTATGCTCGCTATATGGCACAGGGACTCTAAATGGTTTGCCGTCCCTGGTCTAGAGTTAAACTTATGTGAATGTAAAGTGCTTTTGAAAAAATGTAATCATGACTAAATTAAATAACTTTAGCTTATATACTAAGTAATTAAGTAAAGTTAAGTACTACAGTTTAGCTTAATTACAAGATGATTCTTGTAAGAATTGTCTGATCTAAAAAATCTCACTCAGTCATTGTAGAAAATCAAAATTATTTTAAACTCAGTACTTAAATAATAGATTGCCACTTAACGATGAAAGTTTTAGAACATTTCACTTTTTATAACTGATTCTATCATGACTGTATAAAATGCTATATATTTCTGTATAATGTATCTGTGTGTTATTATATTGTTTGAATCTTTTTCTAGGAATGTAATTGCAATTTATGACTCTGAGATAATGCAAAATAGGACATCTCACTTTACAACAGCTTTCCAGGAATCAATTATGTCATAAAAACAGGTATATTATATATCATTTTAAATATTTTCTTCATTATAGTTAAATTCTTATTAAATTCGGGACTTTTCAGAACTTTATCCTGTATGCAGGACAGTGAGTGTTTAGTTCCTGACCATTACATGAGACATTTAAACATCCTAATACATATATGCTTATTAAAAAAGTACATATTAATCATAAATCAAAGCAAAAAATTAATGATAAATGTGATTAATCTTTGTATAAAATTGCATAAAAAGTCTGTTTATAATGTGTATATTGTTAATGATTATTAAATACTTTTAATAATCATTAATTAACCTATAGAATAGCTAAAAAATCTCTATAAGATTGTATACAATGTACAGATGAACTAGATTGTAGACTATTATGTTGTGGCATCTCAAAATACAGACTTAATAATAATACAAATAATACAAAAATGCACAAAGTCAAAGAAAATGTAAGAGAAATTGCTTTGATTTAAAAAATAAAATAAATATACTGAACTCTGCTAACTTTGAAATTTTTTTCTAAACTTTGCACTGTGGACACTATTAGGGCCTCGCTGAATCCATAATGGGCTTGCTAAAGCCTATTATGGATTCAGCCAGGCCCACAATGGGGCAGCTGGATGGTGAAAAACAGGACCTAGTATAGTAGTAATAAATAAATATTCACAAATTTCATTATAAAAATCTACTTTTATTTCTTTTCCATATTCCAATGTAACCAACATTATACTGTAAACATTTTTCTAACATTTCATCACATAGTTACAAAAAAACAACGAAACATTTACAGAATGCAAATACATGAATATATTCCAAGCTAAATCTGTACATCACGTGACTGTATTTAACAATATAAACATACAATACATTTCACATTAAATGAAATTTCGTTTGGTTCTTTTATCAAAATAAAAAAATATTTAATATGAAAAATTTTAATGTTTGTTCTTAATTCATTACACCTGTTAAACTGTGTTATATAGTCAGATGGATTTTTATTATTAAATTAATAATTAAAAAATGGTTAATTAAAATATTATTGCTTATGAATACAGTTACACATTTCTTTTTAATAATACAATAATTGAGTTTCTTTCAGAATTTTATCAAATATTTTAATTCTTGATTATAAAATTTGCTGCAGAATATATAAATTATATTATGGTAATTAATTAGAATATAATTATAGCAATAATTTATAATAAAATTGCTGAAATAGTGAAAAATTTGAATGATAAAACATTTTGTTTTATTCAAGTTAAAATTCCAATTTTTAACATTTAAATTTTTATAAACTAATTTATAAAATAGAAATACAATTTTATAAACTTTAAAGCATTCAATCAAACTATTAAATTAAAATAAGTTAGACAGTTTGTTTTAATTGTAAATATATTCTTAATTTAATTGAGATTAATAGTACTTTAAAAGAATTTTTTTGAAGAAGATAAGTCATTTAAAATACAAAAAATTGGCTATTTTTGCTCGTAACGGTTTCTTAATTACACAAGTGTCCAAAACGTAAGGACGGATGAAATTTGTACACAAGTAGAGAGAACTGTAGATGAAAGCATACTAATATGGCAAGAATTTGTACTACTCAATGTCTAACACAGGGTAATACACAACAACGTGTAGGATTTTACAAATCAAAGTAAATCAAAGTTTGGTGAAAAAGATACACATATAGCCATTGGACGTAGGTGAAGAATGGATGGAAAGTGCTTATCAATACCCAGACAAAGACCTATAAGTATGGAATAAGTCCACTTCAAACTGTGATGCAGCACTTACAATATAGTGGCAGGCTCATCACCACTGGCTTGGTGACTTTTTCTAGCTGTCACCACTAGCAATTCTGTTCTTCCTTAAGTTTTGGACACATGTGTATTAATAATATTCTTGTTATAATTTATAAAAATTAAGAAATATTTAATAAGGAACATTCAGCTTAGTTTCATGCTATAGTAAAATCTCATGATTTGACCATAACAAACATATTTACAGTACTTGTATTCTTGGTTATAACTTAATACAAACAAACAGTTTTCCTTATAAAAGTTCTATGGAATTAATTATCTAAACAAAACAGATTAAATAAATGCATTATTTTTGATTTGGAAATATATTTTAGTTCTAGTTTAAATATATATTTGCTAAACAAGCACAGTGTTTGACAACAGAACTGGCTTCATTCCAGTGCTTATATAAATATGGAGTCCTTTCGCAATGCAAAATACTAAGCATTAACTAAGTATGGGACATCTTTAGGCATCAATATGCATGGAACTCATCTGAATTCAAAAGGTGCATATCCGTAAAGCCAGCTCTGCTTGATGATAATGAAAGTTTGGTATATAAGTTATGGTGCTCATTTAGTAAATACAGTTTATTTGACAAGGAAAATCTAAGTGCAAGTTCTTCATCTAAATGTAAAAATATTTCATTAGAGCATTATTGTACAGTGGTAACTCAGGTTACGAACGCCCCAGCATACGAAATTTTCAGGATACGACATGAAATTCGAACATATTTTTGCTCCACGATACGAACAAAAACTCACCATACGACATTACATTAGTTCGCATTTTTCATTTGTTTTTCTTACTACAGTTATTTTTTTTAATGTATTATTTGGCTTTAATTTGAGTATGCTTTTCGCATTGGAACGAATTATTTGGTTTTACATGTAATTGTATGGGAAAAGATGATTCACCTTATGACATTTTCATGATACGATCTCAGTTTCGGAACGAATTAATTTCGTATCCTGAGGTACCACTGTATATTTTATCTTTTTAATCTTTTAGTTTTACAAGACTGTTTCAATTATTTGAATGTATACCAATCAAATATTGTTTAATATTAAATTCTATTTATTCCATTTTTTTCATTATAAGTTGTTTAAATAAATAAATTATTATAGAATATTAATTCTTCAAACAAATGTTACTTAAAAAAACTCAGTTTTTATATTTAAATATTTTATTGAATTATAAAAACAGAATATTTTATAAACGATATAAAGACAGAGAATGTAATTAGTCAGTGCAAGGCACAGCACAAGTCTGACAAGGGATGCAGACTGATGGAGGGCACACGCTAACACAAAGTGTTGCATTTGGACTGGTGTACAAAATTATAACATTAATTATTAAACAGAATAGACAGTAAACATTCAAAGCATGCTACTACTTATTATACAACAAGTAAGTGCCATAGCAAGTAAAGGTAACACTTCTACATATTTCAAAAAGTAGATTTTTTAACACAACTTCACAATGATTTAAGCTCTTGAATTTGACCAAAATGCTTTCTTCTGAGCAAAAAGATATATAAATTAGAAGTATTTTCAGGCTTATAATGTTGCGCCCAAAAGCATCAGAATTTTTTGCTCTGGTAACATTTTGATCAAATTAAATTTGTTAACTTACATCTTAATACTTCTTAATAGAGTTCCACTTTCCGTTTACTTTTAAACCAAACACTTTTGGACTTTTTCCATCCGTCTTCAGAGCTTATTTCATTTGTATCATGTTAATTTCGTCTACAAATGCTGTTTTTAAGAAATTAGAATGATACAAATGAAATAAACTCTGAAGACGGATAGAAAAAGTCCAAAAGTACTCAGTTAAAAGTAAAGAATCAGTATTAAAGCGTAAGTTGTGGTAATATGAGTGTAAGAACTCGTAAATTTATTAAATACAGAAGACACTGATTTGACTTTTCTGAACTGTACAATTATAATTATTATAAAAACAAACATTTAAGATATTTTAAAACTTGGCTACACTAAATCATAAACTTATTTATACTGACAGTTTATATTTAAGATTATAAAAATAAAAAATGAATAAGAAAAGTAATAAAAGAAATTAATGAATAGAAATAGTTATAATTTGGCCCCGGCTGCTTCACTCTTGCTATGACACTACAACTTACATTATTATTATTATTATTATTATTATTATTATTATTATTATGAAAAAGAAAACCTGAATAATAGGAAACTATAGTTTAAAAATATTAAATATTCACAAAAGAATATTTTGATAGATAAAGAAACAAAAATTTATTGAAAGAAATGTGTTATTCATTTCTGAAAATGTCAGGAACTAATAGTGAGGAAGAAAGTTAATCAGTATAAAAATGATGGAATAAAAAATAGTGAATCTTTGCAAATAAATTAACAAAAGCAAAAGGAATAAGAAAATAAATAATTATTTAATCCAAATCAACAATTTTATAATTATAAAATTTGATAATCAAATAAGACTAGCATTAGTTTGACCTGTCAGGTTTCTTATAATATTTTATTGCTGACACTTTAATAGACTATAGCAACTTTGTTTTGACTCTTTAATTAAAAAATTAATATATGTCTTTTCCTAGAAATTTTTTAGTTCATTGAATACTTAACTCCAGTGGTTTCAAGATCAAATAGTGCTCCTGACAATTAAGTAGCCCTGGAAATACTTAATAAATTAAAATGGGCATATTGTTTTCACTTTTTAATAATTTAATGGACCAAACATATATATGTAAGCTGTTTAATAGCATTGTTATAATGTATCATGATTTTCATATGTAACTATTCAGCAAGATATCCAATCAATGTTCTTGATCTGCCCTGAACAGGTCAAGTATCAATAAATAATTTGTCCTACTCGATTTTATACAAATGAAAATATTAAGAAAATTTGTTTCAATAAAAGAAATATACCAAATTATTCTTAACTTATTTTAGAATTAAAAAATATATATAAAACATAAAGTATATATATATTTAAATTCATCTGAGAATTTCAAGAGTGAATCCATTCTATATTCATCAAGGCAATAATATATTTTGTGTTATACCTAAATATAGGATGATTTAAAAGTTGCACAACCAAAAATGTAAAAGCTGAATCCTTTTATAATGCTTTATGAACAATTATTATTGTAAACACAGCAATGGCAGTGCTGTATTTCTCTACAAGATTACTGATTATTAGATCAGAAATTCCTAATTTCATCGGTATCGGTTGTTTATTTTAACAAGAAAAAATATCATCCCGCTTTCTTAGCTTGAATGAGTATTTACTTAAATCTGTAGCATTGTTTCTCTTCAAAATTGTTTTCAGTTGTCTTAAATCTAAAAAGTATTATATATTATCCATTGTTATAGTGCTCATTCCGATATAACGAGCATAATGGATTGATACATTGATTATATTATGCTATCTGACATATTTCTTATTTGATATCTCCTCACATGCACCATATAATGAGAAGTTACTGTATTATTCAAAACCCAAAAAATTATATTTGTATAATTTATAATCAACTCTTTAATATAAGAAACACAACAAAATTGGATGTATATTATCAAACAAGAACAAAATTTAAGAAGTTAATCAATATTCAAACTGAATTATTCAACATATCATTATGAAAACTTAGCAAATGCTTGTTTTATGTGAGTAAATGAAGTTAATTTACAAAGTGCTCGTGAAGTCACTACATGAGATTGTGTCTTGGGTTAATTATTTTAAGTTTTCTTCAGTTAAGCTTCATTTTGAACATTATTAAGTACAGTATACAATAGGAGTTAGAGAATGATCACTTGCATTTACTTTCATAAGTGACACTTCATTTTAAGGTATTGTGAAAGAGAATTTCTCAACTCCATCTTACAATAGTCAGAGGCTTATCAGGTACTGCTTTAATGATTTTTATATATCAGCATGGAAGATGATGCCCAGAAGAATATAAGAAAAAGTTAAAATTTGTGCAGAAAATGAAGAAGAACACACAAATAACTTGTAACCAGCATGCATTGGGACTTTATCATGACTCTATATCTAAATTATAGCATGAATTAAAAGAACTGGATTTGAGATTATACTATTATTCTAATTTTTAAATTTCTTTTTGATAATTTAAACAGATAAATGATTTATCTGTAGTGATGAGGTGTTTTGTTTCATTTTATTAATTAAATAAATATCCAAAATGTCAGAAAATTTTGATTAGATGGAACAGTTAAACATGTGTTTCAAAAAACATTTTGTTTTTGTC